TCACCAAAAGAAACTCAAAAAAACTCCCAATATCTAAAAAAAAAAAAACAGGAAATCTGCATTTGTCAGTATTTAACTGGTGTTACTCCAGCTTTTCTAAATAAATATCTTCCTTTTAAAAATGTTTTTCAGCACACATATCACATCTCTTATGTGTTGCTGTTTTGAAAGCAACAGCCTCGATATAGAGCTCAAAAGTGAGTTTTACTTTAATAGCAGCAATCAGTCTTCTGGGTGTGGCTGTTACATTTTTCATAAGATGGATATTGCATTTTTGAATGAAACTTTCACATTAGCCAGGGGCAGAGACCCAAGGATGTACAATAAAATAACGCAAAGCTGCCACAACTTGACATGTGGAAGATGCATGTTTCAGTAATCCTGTGACAGACATAAACCTCAGGTCCCAGAGGTGGTATAAGTCTGATGACACCTTCACTAAATATTGTTGTGATGTCCTGCAGCCCTAAATTAATTGTAACGATTGCAGCAAGCCACTATGGGACGAGGATGTTCCACTCCATAAAACATCATTGTCTGTGGATGAGATAATCAGCAGTGGCAAGAGCATCAGCGAACAGGTCAGATCAATCACTACGGCTTTGGTCTCTCTAGGCCAATTTCCTTAATTAGATGGTCCATGCATTTATCAGCAGAAGTGACACAAGTCTACTAGACATGGCGGATACAGTGAAATTTGCCTTTTGTAAGCCATTTTTGAAGTGGGGACAGTCAGTGAATGGCATGAAGTGACTGAGAGGGAAGAAAAAAACAACTTGTACTAGACATAAGCAGACCTAGTCCTAGCTTCTTCATTATGCAGGCAGTGGTACACAGGAGAGACGTTTATTTCTTTCATGTGTGCTGTTTATAACCTTCTGATTAAATTCATTTGCTAGAAAAGCCATGCGATGGATGGATAGATTTTTAAACAAACGAAGGCGGCTTTAACAGGCTTTGGCTTTGAACGAGTTATTTGAAGCTGTCAGTGGACACAGCTTTCTAAGCCCAAGTTCATCTGGAGACTGTGTGCCTGGGTGAAATGTGAGGGTTGTTATTTCAGACTGCGGAGGGCTGATCAAAGCAGTCAGCATGTGTAAAGCAGTACTATACGAAACACGTTGTACCGCTGCTAAATGCCAGTTCAAACAACACAACACAATACATTGCAGACTATAACATGAAAACATACACCGGGATTTTAAATCTACATATTCATATTTGCTGAATGAGTGTTCTCTTTACACTGGGGGACTCGTCAGCCTGAAAGACGAACAGTGGAATGTAAAGAAGGGATTTTACTCAGTGAAGTTGGTTTGAACAAAGCCTGACGGGGATATTGCTGCCTCACACTTGTGACCTTCACTACTAGCTGAATTCGTCATTTTTTCTATTTTGAATTTCACTTTCATCTTCAGTGGAACATTTCAAAGGTTTTGTGAGAATTAAATGCTAAGACCAATAAGACCCAGGTATTTCTATGAAGTACAGAGCTGGAGCAAGGAGGTTATTAGCCTATCTTAGCATAAATAGTGTCAGCAGGGGGAGCAGCAGCTAACCTGGCTCTAGCCAAAGTTCCTATCAAAAGCTGACTAATTACCATGCTGTATCTCATTGCTTGAACCTGTACCCATACAGAAACGGAAAACTTACAATTTAGGGAGTCACATAGGGTAACTGTTCATTGACAAACCACCATTTATCCATCCACTCAGCTCTTCTGTGCAGCATCTTTGTGAAGAAGTCACTGTGCCCAGTTGTTCTTCACCATATAATATAGGTAGGTTTTCATTAGTGTATAATCGCCTGAAGACATAGTGTTTTTGTTTTGAGCTGTTTTTATCTACAGAGGGAGCGGATCCAAACCAAACACTGCCTCTATGGTGCTCTATGGTAGTTTCTCCCACATGCTGCACAATGAGCCTTTAACATTTCAGTGGCAAATTATTTTTTTGGCAGTGATTCTTCAATGACCATATATGAAGTTATATCTGTAAACTTCACAGGCCATGCTTATACCACAACTGTATTCTACTCTACAGTACAAATCAACAACCAACCAACTACTGAGTATCAGTTTCAACCTCCCGATTAATGCAAGAGGCTGTATCTAGAGCAAGTGTTCGGTTTGTTTGTTCTGGGCTACTGTAGAAACATGGCAGTTCAACATGGAGGAGGACCCACTACCTAGATAAAAAGGTCTCATTCTAGGGTAATGAAAACACGATGGTTCTCACTTAAAGGAACTTATACACCAATAAATAAATAAAAAAATACCTATAAATATTATATTCTATTACTGGCAATAGATCCTCCTAAATGTTACGCACTGGACCTGGACACTTTTTTCTGAGTGTACCAAATAAACTGGCAACTATAAATACATCAGAAACTAGAAGGTGAGTCAATCATTATTGTAGCAGAACTTACACCATGAATACAAAGAAACACTGTTTTCGCCTTTAATGGGTCTTTCTCTGTTGATCAGTGTCAAAAAAGCCACATTAAATTCCCTTTCATCCAATTTTGTAAGATAACACAATACTTTTATAAGCACTGTAGAATAGCTGAGTTTCAAAATAATACAATTAAAAGGAACAGAACAAACCTATTAACAAGCAATGAGCTATAATATAGCAAACATCTGAATTGCTTGATGTACTCAGGTCCACTGTGCAGGGTAATCAATGACTAATGCTTCCATATATTATAATATTGTATAATGAGACTAAACTAATATAATGAGTTTATACACATTTTGCTCCCCTTCGCTGCATAAAAGATAAATATAATCAGACAGGTATTTACCAGAAGAGAAGATCTAATGCAGGCAATTCCCCTAAGCCTCCTCTATACACAGATACTTGGCTTGTTCTTAGAGCAGCAGAGGGCTGGCTGAGGGCAGGTGTTTCAGTAAGCGTATTGAGTAGGAGCCATCACAGATGTTTTTAGTGAGTTAAGGCCACATCACCTCCTTGAGGCTCAGCATTAAACTGCGATGGCTCAGAATCACCCAGTCTCTATTTCACATAAAAGACACTAATAAAACCCTCAGATAACAACCTGAAAAAAATGAGGCTATAACTCGCCTGCAAAATCTCAAGATACTGAGCTTATGGTCAGACTAGAGGCAGTGTGGAACTCCTGATACACGCTTTCTCTTTTATATTCTCAAGCTAATGTTTTTTTCTGGAAACTGGGGAAACATCAATCACGGTTTAATTTTGCGCTCAGGAGCCTCAGCCTAAATATTTGTTTTCATTATTTGAAAAGATAAAAGGTAATAAACTACTACTGCAATCTACTATGCTCATTGCTGATTTATATTAAATGGTGAGTTCTCACACACACAGTATCAGTACACCCATAACTATAACTCAGTATTCTCCCGCTGTTGTGTTCATGGCAGAAACTTAGTGTTTGCAAACCCTTATTCACTTCTCTGCTGGAGCAAAAGCTTTGCATCAGACCGTGTCTCTATTAGTCCCTCTGATGAAAAAGAAACTGGCTCACCAGTGAGAGCTATTTTCCAGACAAATCACTTTTCTCATATTGCATCTGCAGTTATATTTTCCTTTTCCTTTTTTATAAGTCCAGGGTAATGTACTAGCAAATAGCAGAAGGCTGCATTTCATCTTCGCCGGTCAGTATTTAGGTTGCAGGAGCACGACTGTATTGATTTAATCGTTTAACACTTTCCATGGACATATTGAAAGGCTTTGGCATAGTCAGCTGCAAGACCATTTAGTAATGCATCTGAAACAATACATTGATCTGGCACAAGCTGTGGGATTTTTCAAATTAAAGAGTATTGTTTTTTTATACATTTTCCCAGCTATTTCTGATCTGTGTTCTTGTAAACCCACAAGGGCAGACGTGATGATTTTGCAAAAGAACTTTCATCAAGATAAAAGAATTGGAAGAAGTGATAAGGTTAGGGGAAAAAGAAGATATGGAAATAACTTTTGCAGACGGGTTGAGTGGCTTAAGTGCATCATCCTATTCTGCTATTTTGTAGAAGGTCATATTTAATCTATGTAATTATTGTCATGCAATTTTATGCAGCTCTCTGCCTGAATCAAAGTGCCCCAGGGTGCGCCTACGCAGTGTTTTAAACATTCCTGTTGAAAAAATGAAACTCATTTGACACACAATAATGCTCCAGGAGCATGTTTTCCCTTTTCCCTCTCCTGCAGCTGAAAATATCTCTCAAACAGAGATAGTGCTTGGAGGGCTGGGCTGTTAAGCCATGGCATTATACACACACATTCCTATTCAAATGTGTTTGACCATCTTCTGCAGGATATGAATCCGTTAAAATATCCCATTTGTACCATTTGAGAGCAGACATTATCTGCTTTTAGAGGCATTCAAACATCATCACCATTATGTCTTTTAGTGTGGTCTTGAGTGCAATATCTTATCCATGATGTTTGAATGCCTCTTTTCTGTCGTTGTTTTTTTTTTCTTCTGTCTTTCTTTCTTAACTTTTACCCTATTTTTAACATACTTGTAGTCTGATATCTTCGCACTATATCTAATGTCTCGGTCTACAACTTTCCTTAAAGATCCTCGTCAGACTAGTATTAAGACATGTTGCTTGGATCAATAATGTGTGTTTGATATGTTTTTTCAATGAAAAAAGAATAATAATAATAATTTTCACATTGAAATTAAAAAGATATCTGCTCCTTCTACCAAATTAAATATGACATAAAATATAATGTTCCTGCTGGACACACGCTTACTCCTTCACTCCTACAGTGTAAAGTCCATTCTCAGTGTATTTGCACTGGTGGCTTCAAGTTGCATACTAGACCAGGGTCGACTTCCAAATTATTTGTGATGTCACAAATAATGCTATGAGCCCCCCAAAAAAAAAATCAAACAGAGGACTTCCACAGATTCATTTGAAAACATCCTTCTAGGGTCAAACTCTGCACATACATCATTCTGCACAGTGACGCTCAAACATATAACTGTAGGAACAAGAAGTAAAACATTTTTTAATGGACTTTAATAGTTAAAGATATACTCTCAGACACTATGGACATTTAGATTGGAAAGGAAACTGGACAGCAATCATTTTATATCACAACCACTTTTTTACAGTTGAGACACATTCATGAAACAACAACAAAGAAACAGCTGTTTAGGGACACACATGCACAACTCAATTAGCCTGAGTTTGTCTTGAACTTCCATTTGTCTGTACCGTTTATATACAGCGTGCCAAACAGGGATTTCCCTATTTTTAGACAAGAGATCTGAGTTGAATAAGATCCCTGTCCTAAAGGTCGAGGGAGACGGGAACAGGCAGAGGGGAGCGGGATCTTGTGCTGTCATCAAAATGGTTGTGTGTAACTTGATACCAATACGCCATTATGTCGCCAGAAAACAATCAGAGCTGTAAGTCAGCTGGAGGGGACACGTGAGATTCAGGAATCCCTTTGATTAAAACACACTCAAACGCATTGGTTGTACGATAGTGTGCAATCTACTATCTGAGGGTTCAGGCAGAATGTCATACTGCATTTATTTATCCTACAAGCATGATCCATGATTTAATACATTATAAAATATGGAAGTGCACACACAGCACTATGGTATTGAAGCAAACATTGCATTGCTACATAGACTTTGCCTTGTTAATTATTCTTCTCCACCCTCACTGCATGTTGGCTTAGCTGTGGAATGAAATGTCAGCATCTTAGAAATAAAACAGGAAAGTAATTTAACTGTCAGCTAAAGAATTCGAAAAACTTTCCCCAAGCAAACACCTACGCAGATTGTGATCCTTTCCGTCTGTTTAGAGCATTTTTAGAAAAATCTGTGTTGCACATACACACGCATAGGCAACTTTCTCTTCAAAGTCGAATGAGTCAGTGAACACCCAGAACAAATGTGTTGATTTAGTAACAACAACCATAGCTAGCTGGAAATTCTCACAAAAAAATTGACTATTTATGTCAAGGGTAATGAGCACAATTTTTAAATAAATGCTCAGGAATACCTCTTTTCTTAAACACCCACTGAATGCCACAGATGACCAACATGTGGGTGTAAAAATTGGTGATTAGCCAGCAGATCACGGCAGGTTACTGTAGAGTGGATCACACATGGCTGTGGGTATAGGGGTGTAGCAGCTTGTGTATGTGTGCACGCAATTATTTGTGTACACACTTGTGGGTAGGCGGCGAAGAGGAGGGGGAATGTTTGTATAGGCCAGTGTGTGTGTGTGCTTGTAAATCTAAATTTGAACGTGAACGTGAAGGTGTATGTGTATTTGCATGTGCATCTGCTGGAGGAACATTGTTCCATTACACAATGCTCGCCTTTGACATTCCAGCTCCACCTGTCAGTGTGTACAAAGGCCTTTCTCCAGGCTTTGACATGTGTGAATCTGCTGCTGGCCAGGAGAGATAGCCGAGTCCAGTCTAGGACACGAGTGGGTGGACAACCTGCAGTCCTGCCTGACCTCCTCCATGATCTTTCTCTCAGGCTGCATAACTAAGACTAGAGCTCAGTCGAAAACATTACTGAAGAGGAATCTAATACTGGATCAGTGCCCTCTTACTAATCAAACAAACTGACATCTTGTCCCAGTGATTGATGCAGACACCACGTCAGTACGGCAGCAGTAAGATGTATCATCCTTCTTCAATCCATTAACATTTGTTGGTGATGTAATGATCACAGTACTTCAATTTTTACATTTTTGCCTTTAATTCAGGCCAAACAGTGTTTTTTGTTTTTTAAAGATACCCAAACCAATGTAAAATCTGAATTTTTTAAGTCCAGCATAAAAAATTGTGTTTATATATGTGTGTTAATAATGTGTTTGTCTGTTACGGTTTTCAAAATGTTAAAATGTTTTGTACCAAAAACTGAGGTTGGAGCAAAGGTTACAGTTACAGTTAACACTATGTGGACATTTAGGTGTCCCTCCCTGGAATTATCTCCCTGCTGCATCTTTCCCCATCCCCTCCAGTTGCTGCCTGATAATAATTAACAAAATGTGTTGTTATTATTAGTAGTAGTTAGCATCCTAATAATAAAATATTTTCTAATTTAAAAGAAGTTTAGAACTTGGCACAATATGATTGGCCAGAACCGACCAACAGGAACCTTCCATTTGACGCATTTGACTGGTGATGTCTGAAGTTGAGTTCTGTGGAGGAATGTCAGAAACAAAAGGTTGGGAACCATTTTCGGCTAATGAGGGAAAAAACAGAAGTAGATTCAGTTACACAGTTGAATCCACATTAGAGCTGAGGGCAAATATATCTGACCGTTTTCAACTGCACCATATCATTTTCAGGCTACACCTGCTGCTATTAATGCCCTGCTCTTCTTATTTATTTGCCCAGTTTTAGTAATGTGTGTCAAGACATTATGCTCATTTCATAAAATCACAAAATAAGACTGGGCACAAGAACACAATCTTGACATAAATCATTCCTCCAGGATGCAAAAAAAATGACATCTGAGAAATGACATTTGAATTAAATATGTCAGTTTTTAATTATAGCTTCCCTATTGTGCAAACTAATAGTTTCCGAGGATTGTTCCATTCGTGCAGCAAGTTCCATGTCAATCAGACTAATGGTGTAGGAGTTGAGACCTTTCAAACTGTGAAAATGCAACCTTTAAATACAGAGCCCATTAAGCCAATTTAGAGTGGAAAAAATATATCGTCCTTTCATCAGTTTCACCAAATGAGAGCAGTAATGCATTAAGACAGAAGCAGGCACTGCCCTAATAATACTCTTACACCTTCTGTTTATGTTGATAACCTGCTAGCATGATAATGCGTGATGAATTAAAAAAAAAAACTCCTTATTATTTATATTTTTTATTCATACTTTAATCACAGTTCCTTTCCTTCCACTCAGATTTTCAGGTTAACTAACCTGCAGTCTAAAACACATGTTTTTTTTATAAGTTTAGTAACTTAACCACTGGGATTATATTTGTTTAACCTCCAGCCTGTTGCTCCTTCCTCCTCGTCCCATAACTTGGTGTTCAAGTTATTCCACCAAGCCTCCAGGGAGGAGGCAGAGTGGTGACGGCTGCTGCAAAATTTAAACCCATTATAGGAACATGTCCTGCAGCCAAGGAAGCTTCAGAGGTCCTGGTGTCGGTTACATGATCCTATCTGATCGCAGTCACCGCTTTTAACATTCCTGCACCGTAGAGGAGTTTTATATCTGACATATTACCTCACAATCATACAGTGTCAAGTACACAAATTTACACTGATGCCAAGAAGATCATAGGCAGAACCAGAGTTGCACAGCCTTGATCATATGTTGCTTTTATAGTCTCTTCCAAAACCATCACTGTTCTCTTGTGTACCTTTAATGTCTCACTGGGAAATGTATGGCACTATAAGTACCTATCTAGTTTTGTTGTGATGCCTGTACACTATTAATTACCCTATTATTTATCTTCTCCTCCTGGAGGAGCTACCAGTCTTTGTTATTTAAAAAAAACAAACATCCATTTTGATACATATTTCTGCTCAGAGAAAGAAGCTACAGTGCAGTCTACAGTATGAGTGTGAGGATTGAGAATGGGGGTGTTATATAAGAAGCCTACATGGGGGAATCAGTGTACTGGCTGTTCAAACAGAACCCCTCAGCCTACAGGGAGTTACTGCGCAAAGGCACAGCTCATCAAGTCAATATCTCACACACATGTCCCTATAATAGGCACAATTCCTCAAATGCATTTAAGGTCCTTGGAGAGCATTACTGCGGCCCTATTATTTTTACAAGGCTATTTACAAGCATGTCTCCATTGACCCTGAATTGAACGGGTGTTTGAATAAGTCAAAAATGAATAATTCATTTGATTTTTTTTTGTTGTTGTTGTTTATCTTTTCTTTTCTTTTTTTTTTCTTTTTTGCAGTTTTCAAATGATGCGATGTCTTCAGTGTTCATGAGATGAAATATTCAGTGGCCTCCGCTGTGCTCTCAAAGCTTGTGTCCATGCTGGGGGTCTGGATCCCCGCCCCTCCCCTGGGATCCTTCAGTAAGGGGATGTATGTGTCGCTGTGACAGGAGCGCATGGCGTTGTCCCAGACCCCTGCACCGCAAACATGTTTATGGGCGCCGGGTGCAGCCTCTTGTTCGCCGTCGCCGGAGCGCAGCGCCATCAGTTCAATCTCATGCTTGGCCGCAGTCTCCAGCACCTGTTGCTTGTTGTAGAACAGGACAAAATTGTTGATGATAGGGTGTATAGGCAGCGCTATGGCGATCACCCCGCACAGAAAGCTGATGGCCGCGTTGCACCGACCTAAAGTGGTCTTGGGGTAGACGTCTCCATAGCCCACCGTGGTCATGGTGATCACAGCCCACCAGAACGACTGCGGGATGCTGGTGAACAAGGTGTCCGGGTGGCTCTGCTCCATGGTGTAGCCCAATGCGGAGAAAAGGAAGACCCCCACGCCCATATACATGAGGAGAAGTCCGAGCTCTTTGAAGCTGCTCTTCAGGGCAGATGTGAGGGTCTGGAGACCAGAGGAATGCCGTGCCAGCTTGAAAATGCGCGCAATGCGCATTATGCGTAAAGCCTGCACCGCTTGCTGCACGTTAGCCAGCTCCATCATTCCTGCGCCGAAGGAGGTCAGAATCAGCACCACGAAGAAGGGCATTATCGCCATGAAGTCGATGATGTTCATGAAAGACAGGACGAATTTGATTTTATTTGGAGAGGAGATCAGACGCAGGAGGTATTCAACAGTGAACCAGAGGATGCACATCGTCTCGATGACCTCCAGAGTTGGGTGCTCCGAGAGGTTACCCTCCGCGTCCTCCACCTGCAGGTCGGGGATGGTCCCGACACACATCACCACGGAGGAGACGAGGATGAAGATGAAAGAAACTATAGCGATTATGTGCGCAGGCATCGAGGACTCCGGCTTCTCCATCAGCCTCCAGAGGCACATCTGAAAGCGCTGCCAGCCTTCTGCAGACGGATCTCCCTCCCGGTCCACCAGGATAGTTCTCACTTTCTCTGCAATCTCTGCAAGTTCATCCTCTACCTCCTTCAGGTGGCATTTACAACAGTCATCCAAAAAATCAGAGCCGATTTTCCAGAACTCCATCTCCTTCATGAAACAAATTGGACAAATGCCTCGTTTCATGTGAATCTCTCCATAATAGTACAGTTCAATTATACACTTAAATGCTTCGGGGTCTCTGTCAAAATAAAATTCTCCAGTGTCAGGGTCGTAGTCGTCACATAGTAAAGATATTTCTTCAGAAGATTTAAGTGAACAGTCCACCAGTTCTGCCAGCCGGGTGTCCGGGAAGCGATTCAACACGTCCTCGTATAACACCTGTTTCACTCCGCCTATGTTAACTACAATCTCTGTCTCTTCACTGGCTTCAGAGCCATTGCAGTCTGCATACCGCGTCCTTTGGATCCCCCACATTGTGTTGACAACAAGTCCGCAACACAAAAAAAATTACAAAAGTGTGTACTGTAGTAAACGCAAGTCACCATAAGCTCTGGCGCTGTGCGTAAAACCTCCTAAATTTTCTAATCTCTGCGTTTTAGTTGAAGAAAATAATAAATGTTTGCTCAGAGGTGACTGCAGCGTCAAGTCTTCAACACAGCCGTGTTTGGCAGTGAACAGTGCGCCTGTGCGCTCTGAGAAAGTTGGCGTTGAAGTGCGCGTAATGTCAAGTACGCCACGATCAAACCACAGGACTTCCGGGCATAACTTTCAAAACAAAACTCTTTCTGATCAAGTTTGTTTTTGCCACCAAACACGCTGTTAATGCAAATTGAGCCAGTTTTTCGTAGCTCAATATTATCCAGCAGTTAAAAAAAAAAACACTTAATGTCTGACCTCTGTTAATACCACACGCACTGCCAACCTTTCTTTTGTAACATTTATTCCAGTCGTTTTCATTCACTCTGCTGCTCACACACTAACACACCTGCCTCACCAACCTTGTGATGAATTAATGTAGATAAAAAACTGAAGAACAAACTTAAGAACTGAATTGCTTGAGTTTTACAGTAGTCAAAGGTCTTTATGTGAGGCAAAAAAGCAGGAAAACAACTGTACAAATACAAACAAACTTAATAAGACAAACTAAATAATAATTTAAATATCATAATAAATGAATAGCATTGAAATTATTTGTATCAAAAGGGAAAAAATATTTGTAGGCTCATTGAAAAATACTGGCTAACTTATCTAAATAAAGAACATGATATGTTTTTAAAAATGACTAATGAGATATATTTCAGGCCCTGTGAATCCGTCATTTTAAGTAACAATATAAAGTATCACAGCCACAGACATTACAATGCTTTTATTTTTAAAGCTGTCTGCTGTTTCCGGCGGCGCTCTGTCTGTCTGTGGTTGTTTTGACGCAGCGCAGTGCAGCCAGGCGCAGCACATCATAAATCTCAGCGGCATGTAATGAATTGTGAAGTAGCAAACAGGGAAATCAGACACACGCACTCCGCTGGCTTTCTGATGGCAGCTGGAAGAATCAACAACCAGTTAAAGGTCATCGATTAACAGAAGGCATCACACCAGCAATTAAATTATCCTTCTTTCTTTTTTTTTTTAGAACAACAGTCTGTAAAATGTTTTCCAATATCCCAACCTAGACGCATTATCTATCATCCATTTTGAATGTATTATTAGCTATCACCAAATAACCCAGAAGGAAAAGAATCAGTGTTTTTCTTGGATTATTGTTTCATTAATGAGGCCTATTATTTGTTCTTATGTCTCACAGTGTATTTTTTCCACTTAACTTGCAGCTCATGTATCATGTTTGTCAGAAACTTGGAAATAGAATTTAGTATTAGACATTAAAAGCGTGACAAAAATAACAAATTACCATAAAGTTCCGACAGTAAAAGCTACATCATACGGTGGTTTAGGGATGTCAAGTCATGGTGATGTTTGGGAATTAAAGGTGCAAATGTCATCAGTGGGAGATTTACACAAATCTGTTTTCTTTGGCTACTTTCAAATATAAATTTGCACTCTTGAGTTGAACTGAGCAGTTCTGCAGTAGCCCACGCTGAATTATTGATTGGCAGACAGACTGACAGGATCTCAGCAGGAGTTTGCCTTGTTGTTTGTCTCCACCTAGTGACAACACCTTCACAATACAGGAGCCTAAAGGTTTTTCTAAATATTGGTGCAAACCGCTGAGGATTGGAAGTCATTAATATGTGAAAAAAAAATAAAAAAAAATAAAAACAATGTAGAAAGAAGTTCTGTGTGAATGAAGCATTAAACTAAATCTGAAGTAAAACCTGCAATGCAGCGGATTCAAGCCAAACTTTGGTGAAGTACCTTCGTTATTTTCCTACAAGATCAAAATGGAAAAACAAACATCAAGTTATTCTTTCACTGATGGATGAGTAATTTCAGGATTACAAGAACTGTATTGACTTGAGTTAATAGTAACCTATTAAACTTCACACATTCTTCTAAACACATGCACATTTTGTTATCAGTTATAGTTATCAGTGGTGGCTTGTGATCAAATTCACAAGTACAACTGTTCTTATAGGTATTACATGAGTATTTCCATTCCCTTTACACTGCTGCTACACTATCTAAGAGGGCAATGTTGCACATTTTACTCCAATCACTGCAGTTATTCCACTGCTGAAGTTTCCAGTTACTTTGCAAGTTAAGATGATGAGTTTATAAAATATGATGTTAATGATTAAACTACCCATGTTAATGATCTCCTCTTACACTGGCTACAGCGTGAATAGTTACAAATAGTTGCATCAGTTATCAACATGGGCCACACTCTCCTGTATAATTACTTTAGTTTCTGGCACAAAATACCCAACACTTCCTCTTTTTAGTCTGTATTTCCTGACATCTGGTTTCTATTATCAGATATCTATCTATCTATCTTTCTTTCTATCTATCTATCTATAAATGTGCTTTTAATTTCGATTGAGTACTTTTATATTGGGGTATTTCTGCTTTTACTTAAGTGAATCATCTTAATATTTCTTCCACCACTGCCAATGAAAGTTATGATAAGACAACAGTAGCTTTAAGCAGCCTACTTTACACATTACTTCATTAGAAAGTAATGTATCAGTAATATAAAGTAACTTTACTGTCTGTGGGTTGTATATAAATGTCAGCTTTGTCACATTTGTTGCATCTCCTCTTGGTGGAGTTAACAACATCTCCTCCTGCTCCCCTCCACCAGCCTCCTCCCTCTCTTCAGCGTGCCGCTTCCATAAACTACACGGCGCACGCTGATTGGCTGAGGCAACACGTCGCCAGCAGCGGACCAATCAGCGCGGGCCACGGTGAGCCTGTTCGATCTACTTTTCTGGGAGACGCAGCAGCAGCAGCGGTCTGTGTGTGTTGCTAACACAGGAGACGAGCAGAGAGCGGCTAAAACCATGAGACCACTTTTACTTGGTGAGTGACAACCGCGCCAGTTTTTTTTTTTTTCTACTTATAAATAAAGTATAATTTTTGTGGAACTTAACGTTAATGTTAAGGCGTGTTTGGCAGCGTGTCCGCCACTGTGGTTAGCCTGAAGAGCTAAGTTAAGGAGCACAGAACAGTGCCAGGCCTCCGTCATTGTTGAATCAATGAATTAATAAGCGTCAGTTTCACTTGTTGTTGTACAAATGTGGGATAATTCTGCATATAAGCTGTATTTAAGTGGGTTTACGATGTCCTTTTAGTGTTACTACTACTAGTACTTTGGCTGGTGTGATGGTTGAACACAATGGGAGCTTGCATTGAGAGTAAACCTTTTGTATCTTCATCCTTTCTTGCAGGAGTGCTGGGCTGCTCCCTGGTCCTGTCTGTCCAGTCCTTTTACTCAGCTAGTGATGATGTTGTCGAGCTCACCCCCTCCAACTTCAACAGGGAGGTGATCCAGAGTGACAGTCTATGGCTGATTGAGTTTTACGCTCCCTGGTGAGTCCATATAACTTTTGGTGGTCATTATTCAGTGCTAACAAGTGTCCTCGGATCAACCAAGTAGTGATAAGATAGTGATCGCAGTTTCAATACAAGTATTTTGCATTGAGTCAGTCATGTTTGAGTCGTCTCTTCCTCCTCACAGAAACCTCAACATCTGGAGAGACTTGTATGCAAAACTGGTAGCTCCTCCTTGGACTGCGATTTCACAGTTCAAGTTTATTTGTAGAGCACAATCTCATACAAAAGTGCTTTACAAAGGGGTACAGAGTGGGAAATGTATTAACATATACACACAAAACAAAAATTACACAGGAAATTACTTGACTTCTTTCTTCAAAGTTGCCCAATTTTGATTGAACTCTGTGTGACCTGAGAAATTTGCCAGATTAATAAACTTAAAGCATGTCAGATGTATATTCAGGGGCCAGACCATTACGTGTTTTACTGTATAAATCAGGATCAAAGTCACTTCTGTAATGAACCAGTAGCCAGTGTTAAATGTGCACACCTTTTAAATGTAAATGAAAAGGTGTTAAATATTCACTGTCGGTGTTATTATTGGATCATTTGGTTCTGTGACTGACAAATACTTGTGATGTGTTTTAAACACATTCAGACTGCACTACAGGACTAAATTGTAAAATTAGATGACTGCCAATAAAAATAAAATTGCTCCTCCACTGTTTATCGTCACAGGTGTGGCCACTGTCAGAATCTGACTCCTGATTGGAAGAAGGCTGCCACTGCCCTCAAGGTAAACAAAATGTCTCCGGTCATCTTTCCATTGATTACCAGTGAGAAAGCTTCAACCATTCATCTGTTCTAGAGAAACATTCCCCAGTGCAATCAGGGCTAGGTTACAAAATCAAATATCAGAATCAGTGAATACTGCTATTAGCAATAATAACAATATGATTATGATGATGTAATTTCATTAGATATTTGCAGACATTAAGCATATATACCAAGCAGGTACACTAGAGGCATCCGCATCCATTATTCATTTCACTCAGCTAAAACAAACACATTAGATCAGAAAAATGTTTCATTTCACTGCATTGCATCATCAAAGACCAGGACACTGCTTGCATCTCGACTACTAAGCTCTAACTCACAGCTTTATTCCACCTACAAATGTTTAAAAGTTTATAACTCAGCAGTTGGAGTAACTGCAAACAGAGGCGTGAGAGGTGGGTGGATATGGGACTGCAGTCAAATATTAATGAATAATATTCAGTATAAAAACAACACGCCCGGTTTATTTAATGGAATGTGCTTTTCTGTACACAGTTATCACCTCTAATATAATCTATCTAAACAACATTGTGTGTAATGATTAACAGGTTTGCTATATTTTGCTGCAGTATGAAGTTTAGACTGCACACTCCAACTTATTTGTTCTGAAATCCTTCAGGGTATTGTCAAGATTGGTGCCGTAGATGCCGATCAGCACAAGTCACTGGGTGGTCAGTACGGCGTCAGAGGTTTCCCCACCATCAAGGTCTTTGGAGCCAATAAGAACAAGCCAGAGGAGTACCAAGGTACTCACAAAACCACCAAACATGTAGCTTCTGCTGCTGAAAATAGCTGAAAAATACTGATGCAAGTGTCAGAGAGGCAATCTTTGCGGTGCTGTAATCAAGTATTGTTTTTTGCTGCAATGGCTGACCTCTGCGTGCCTTTTACTCTTCAGGTGGACGCAGCAGCCAGGCCATCGTGGATGGAGCCATGAACGCGTTGCGTGCTCTGGTGAAAGACAGGCTGAGTGGCAAGTCTGGCAGCTCTGGCTACAACAAACAGGTAGATCCAGCAAGCGAACACTTGCAGTAGCTTTTCGTTGCAGTTATTTGAAACTGGAAAGGATGAAATGATTCACTGAACGTGGTTAAGTAACACTCGAGTCCCTTCCAGCAGAGCGGCGGAGGCAGTAAGAAGGATGTGGTCGAGCTCACTGATGATAACTTCGACAAGATGGTGTTGGAGGGTGATGATGTGTGGATGGTAGAGTTCTTCGCCCCCTGGTGTGGACACTGCAAAAAGTGAGTTTGGTACCTGATTCAGCTTTCTCTTAGTGTCCCAGTAATTCTGGGTAATCCTAGTTCAGTAGAAAGTAATCTTATTAAAACTGAGCAGTGAGATCTGAACTATGTTTTTACTATATGAATCCAGTTTGCAACATTTTCTATACTAGTTTTTCAGAATCAAAGCTTTGTTATAAAAATAAACCATGCACACTTCTAATTTTGAATAGAGGATTTTCTACTGTGGGGATTTCATTCTTTTAAGTCGTTTTCGTTAACCATCGCTCTGTTCTGTTGTCAATAGCTTGGAGCCTGAGTGGGCAGCTGCAGCCGCAGCTGTCAGGGAGCAGACCAAGGGCAAAGTTCGCCTCGGAGCAGTGGATGCTACTGTACACCAGGCTGTGTCCAGCCGCTACGGGGTAAGATTTGATAAGTTAATGTGGTTCATTGGTGCACAATTCTTATATAAATCAGCAGTGCTCAGTGCAAACACCACTTCACAACGAGATACAAGGTGGGACATTTTTAAGCTATTTCGTTTTCGTTGTCGTATCAATTGAAATAGTCAAATTAGTCAATAAACAGGATAATTCACAGGCCACTAAGCCCCGGGATAAAAAGGTATATCTGCTTTGTATATGTGGCTTTGACCTTGTAAACATACCTGCTTGTAGTCATGAGAATGAATCTCCACTGACTCACATTTACCATGCTTAATACAATTACATTAATTACTGATCAAATTTCAGTTTCAGCAACCCTTTCAACATTAATTACAACCTAACAGTTGAGTCTTACCACTGAATGTCATTCAGACATATCATGTTCTACAGAAGAATTAAAAGATAGCTTTCCTGGATTGAATCCCTAATTAAATACCAACATGTAACCGAATCTGAGGCAGTTATTCACAGAACTGAAGCAATATTTTCTGTGTTTAGATCCGAGGATTTCCCACCATCAAGATTTTCCGCAAAGGCGAGGAGCCTGAAGACTACCAAGGAGGCCGCTCCCGTGGTGACATCATCGAGAGGGCATTGGATATGTTCTCTGAGAACGCCCCCGCTCCTGAACTGCTGGAGGTCGGTACACTTGTGTATTGGCATCATGCATTCATGTATGAAAGTTTTATAGCGCTGGTATCCGACAGTATTCTGACCAGAAGGACCAACGGTAATCATCTGGAGATGATTTTTTTTTATTCTTAAACCACAATATTACTTTTTTTTTTTTTTTTTTCTACTGTGTTACTGAACACAATAGTGATTCAACTCATAATCAGTTTACTAACACACACTAACACTGTAGCATAGTCACTACTATGTGTGACCAGACAAATTAAAAGAAAGTCATACTAAATCAACACAAAATCCAGAGCGCTGTTTCTGCTCATGGGTGACGGTTTAGACCATACTACAAATTTCATGTTGAATGTGTATTCTCATAATGTTATATTTAATGTAAATGTTTGTCTCTCAGATCCTCAATGAAGACATCTTGAAGAAGACCTGTGAGGACAGTCAGTTGTGTATAATTGCTGTCCTGCCACACATCCTGGACACCGGTGAGACCAGACAGACATCTGACTCTAACCAATCAATAGTTCAGAAGTTTTACCTTTTTTAAAGAAAACTAAATGGTTGCAGGTAACAACAAACGTGTATATAAATGCAGGGTTGTAGAGGCACTACAATACAGTTTAAGAGTGTATCTTTAACATTTCTCATACAAACATGAATATATTGTAAGATCCTTCTAATTCTTGAATCACTCACCATCCACTGTCGTCGTATCTTAATAGGGGCTGCAGGTAGAAACGGCTACCTGGAGGTGATGATGAAGATGTCTGAGAAGTACAAGAAGAAGATGTGGGGGTAAGGATGAGAGCCCAATCGTGGATTATTATTCATAAGACTAATTGTGACTTCGACTAACAGCCCACACTCCCTTTGTCAGCTGGCTGTGGACTGAGGCTGGAGCTCAGATGGAGCTGGAGTCCTCTCTGGGTATTGGTGGATTTGGTTACCCTGCCATGGCCGCCATCAACACACGCAAGATGAAATTTGCTCTGCTCAGAGGCTCCTTCAGTGAGACCGGCATCCACGAGTTCCTCAGGTAAAAGGGGGGTAGCCGCTGCTTGATGTGATCTCATTTTTTCACCATTACAAGAATCAGAATAAAAATGTGCTTTAGAGTGCGCTGAATGCTGGCACTCATATGGTGTGTCTCTTTCTCTCCAGGGAGCTTTCTGTGGGCCGTGGCTCAACTGCCACATTTGGAGGTGGGTCCATGCCCAAGATTTACTCTGTGGAGGCCTGGGACGGCAAAGACGGGCAGGTGAGTGGGAGCATCAGAGTGGTCTGTTAGTCAGAGAAGACAAAAAGCAAAATGTGGCTCTGCAGGTGGCTGGGGAGATGCAGACAATATAGTCTATCACAGCACAATCTCAGTAAGACTTTGACCAACATATAAAACACAATAATGTTAAAACAAGATCACTACAGTGTATAAGAGACGACAGACCAATCATTGATTGTTCAAGCTAATAATCAGCTGTTTTGAGTCCCCTCAAACTGCACATGCACTGATGACAGATATGGCAGAAATTCAGCACGGTTCAAATTCTGCTCAGTGCTTTCAGTGTCTGCCTGGATTAATACAAAGAATCTCTACCTACTCCTTGCTGCCTCTGTACTGCAATCACACACACAGGAATATGTCAAAAACACTATTATGTAACACAGCGTTTGGAGTGCTCCCAAAATATCCAGATCATTTGTCTTTTCTCACAGAGTTAAAAGTCCATCTGTAGTTATTTGTCTCAATTTAAGAAGAGCTTGAAGTTTTTATGTGTGACAGGCAGACGGTCAGGCAAAATGTAAAAACATGTACAGCTCCACTGATAATGATTTGGCATTTGTAATATTTAAATGAGCGGAAAGTTTTCATGCTTATCAACATCTTTGCTAACAGCTTGTCTTTTTTTTTTGTACTCCTCGTCAACCGCAGCTTCCTGTGGAGGAAGACTACGATCTCAGTGATGTACATCTGGATGATGACTTCGACAAGGACGAGTTATGAGCCCAAACGTGGGTGGGATCTGATCCAGATTGGTTCGGTCGAATCTGGTCTGGTCCTGTACGACCCGCCTCCCCTCTCCTGTGGACGAATGGGAGGCGCGGTCGCCCAGTTACTGAAATACTCCAGAAAAGACACATGGGAGACACCTGCAGTTTCTCACATCATCTTTGTCAGTCTCATGTGGACAGGAGGGAGGGGGGGGGGAGGGGGACGGACGGACGGACGTACGTGTGTCACGTCCCTGGAGTGAACCTGCCTCACGTACCTGCTGAACGTTAGAAGCTGCATATTTATACGGTCGCCGCCAGCTGAGGAGAGGGAGGAGGATGGTTCTGAATGCGGCATTTCAGTTCATTTAAGTCTTTCTCAAACATCGTTCCCCCTCTCCCCTCTTCAGCCACCCTCATGCACCTATTTTAAGATGTGGACTTGTCAACGTAACACTTCAATGTCCAACCCGATGTGACTTTATATAGGTTTTTTTTTTCTCTCTCTTTTTAAACCAGTAAGTGTGAATCTTGGTGGGGTTACATCATGTCTGTCCAGGACAAGGGAATACTGTGGGACTTCTTGTGTAGATTTTTCTTACACGACTTTATTTCAATTGTGTGAAAACAAAATTACATTTTTGTTACAAAAATAAAAAGGAATAAAAACAATCACAGCCTCCTTATTCACATAAACTGTTACAATATCAGAAAACGCATTATCACCAAGCGCATGCAATACCAAGGCATATAGAACTTGTTCAGAACAGCAACTTGTTAAGCTACAGTTGACATACTGAACAACAATAAGCCACTTTTCAGCACAGCTAAATCCAATCAAATTATATGAAGTGATGTAATTAGTTTCCTCTTAGTGTAACGTAATGGGGCCATAATACTTCCGAGCACATAACCAGTCTGTATAAATATATGATATGGCACTTCACTTACAGAAAACACCATTTCAAGGCAGGAGAGCTTTGGAAAAGCGAATACACAGAATACTTCAACTGAAAGCACATAGTCCACAGAAAAGGAGCCAGATTGAAAAGTATCCATTAATGTAAACATTAAGACATGGAGTGTCATTAAAATGAAAGGATTGTCTGTTGACCTGGGGGGGGGGCCAAGCCATTATCAGGTGAACAGCATAAAGCTGGGTGGATGTGGGTTTGCGATTGCGTTTTAAGAGAGTGTGTGTCTGTCATTGTCTCTGTGCTCAGAACTGACGAGAGGCTCCCTGATCCGACTGCAGCAGTCTGACAATGGATGGGTCGCTCTTGGCACCTTTAATGAACTCCTCCAAAGACAATCTACCTGTGAAGAAGAGACCAAAAAAAGATTCACAGTCAGCAGCAGCCAAACGTGATGGAGTGAATCATGCAGCAACCCACCCATTAATGTTCCTTTAGAGCTCATGTGCAAAAAAAATAACCACTGCTGCCCCAGATAATGCACAACAGACAAAGTACACATCTTTTAAAGACATTACAATGAACCTGCATTAACATTTTCATGACTTAGTGATGATTTAGTCATTCATAGCTGTCAAGTCATTTCAACCAGCAGGTGGGGCTGTTGTGCTATTCTCATGCAATTAAGGAATTCTTTGAGTGTATTGATTAGCACAAAAAGGAATGGGCCACGAAAAGAACAGCACATCCTTTTAGTGACTCATTAATTTATAAATTATTTTTAAATCCTCATTATTAATTGGTGATGGCCATAATAACTCAATAAAAACTTAATAAAATATTAATGAAATGACATATATACAAATAAAACAAAATGGAATTATAACAGTAAAATAAAACATGATTAAGATACTTAACTATCCAAATTGTACAACTGCATATTATTTGAAAATATTTTAATGTAGAATTAATGGAAAGGAATTTTTATATCTGCACAAACTTAATAATTGATATTGATGAGAATAATTTAAAATGATGTTTTAAGGTCTTAAAACCAAATGAGCACTTGAGTAATGGCATATGAATTACTTTAGCCATCCCCAACAGACTGCCATCTTTGCACAATTTTTTTTGAGATTTGTATCCATTACGTCTTAAACTGCAAGTCAAATTTATGAAAAAAGAGAAAACGTGACAAATGCCGGTAACAAGTGTTGCCAAGTTTTGACTAATCTCACACAAAGAAAAAATACACAAGCACACCATAAACTGCTATTGCTGTCATACAGCATCTGCGTAAAGAAAGGAGGGTTGACAGAGTTTTGGTGGATTAACCACCCCCCCCACTGCAGCTGTAGCCGGAGGCCTGGTCTGTGATACCATACGATGTTATAAAAAACTTGAGCCTGAGACACACAGTTTGACCTTCTGCTTCAAAACACGCTGAGCTTCCCACTGCTGTTTTTGAATAGCTCTAAATATCTGACTGGGATGCGACAAAAACAGTAAGACTTTGCGAATGCTTAGGTGCATATCACATGGGTGTAGCGTCACCTTTTCACACTAAATGTCAAACCACTGGAATCGAGGCGGCTCAGCAGGATGAGACTGTTAATGACCTTGTGAGTCGTGTTATGTCATGTTGTTAAGTGACGTCTTATTTCTCTCCCTCTCCCTTCAGTCGCACATCTTCCTTATTTCCTGTTACTCTCCAAACTGCTCTGCGATGGCGAGTGTATAATGTCAGAGACTATTACATAACTAATCTTATGTCTGCCGTACCCTAACCGTTGTAACTGAATAGCTGTACCATGTTAGTTCACTTCTGTTTTTCAATAAGTTTCATTTTGAGTCGGTGCATATTGCAGCTAAGTCGTCATGGAGGACCGGCATACTCATTAAGTATCTATAAAAAGCACAGTGTTAGTAATGCTTTCCCCCTATTTTGCATTTATTAGCAGCAGTATATAAACATTTGATACATATAATGTGGCCGTATACACATAGAAGGACATTTTAAGTGTTTCTTTATGTATAGATATTGTAAATAATTAGAATCTCTCCAATCTATGAAGATACATTATATTATTACAATCATGCTTTATTGTCATTCATGACCTGTTTATACAGTAGCCTCCAATGCCAACTGGAGGAGTTAAAGCTGTAGACACAAGTATTAATACACACAGAATCAGAATCACTTTTATTGGCCACGGACATACAAGGAGTTTGACTCCGGTTTCACGTTGCTCTCAGTGTACATACACAGAAATAGGCATACACACATTCTGTTTAAAACTATTATTACCATTTATTAAACGGTTATATACAGCTTATAAGACGAAGACAAAGAATTAGACCCAAAATACACACATGCACACAGAGGACTGATAGACATGCAGTTAACCGGAGAGATACATGCTAAATATGCTAACTTAAAGTACTTTTGGTCGCAGAAGCATGCCCATAAAAATAAAACATCAGTCTTACCATCGTTGTCAATGTCCATCTGTCTGAAAATCTTATCTGTCCTTTTTTCTGGTGTTGATTCGTCCTCAGGCATCTTCATCACTGATGATACCATCTTGTAAATTGCCTACAAAGTAGGGCAACAAGGACTGCTGTTATTCATTCATTTGGTTGGTCTGTGTGAAGCTTTGTGAACTGTTCCCATCTGAAATATTTGTCACATGTTTCTTCTGAATGCTTTGACCTGTTTTCGGTTGCTACCTGGTATTGATGGTGATGGCAACTAAAGCTCATCCTGTTGTTACTCAAAGTCTCTCTGAACAGGCTGTAATGTGTCTGTATCTCCTGAAGCTATACACAGTTCACATCATGGAAAGATGAGTGGCTTTGATGACAGAAATAGGTTTTGCTGAAAAAACAGAAAGTATTCTACAGTAACAAAAGCACTGATGCTTTTGAGTGTTTTTTTTTCTACATTCATTTGTATCCACAAACACAACGGACTGAGCCAATATTGATATGGCCCTGCAGGCTGCTCAGCTAACCATATTGGAAGAGTAAATATAGCCACAGTGATAAGAAAAAACAGAAAGGGCAGCCTGCATCCATGATGTGAGGTGAAAATATCCTGACTACAAAGCCTAAAGGCAGTCATCAGACAGTAAAATGCCTACAACACAAGGAATTAGTGGATTAATCAATAATTAGCAACTATTGTGATAACTGATTGATTGTTTCAGCAATTTATCAAATAAAAATATCAAACTTTCTTCAGTTCCAGCTGCTAAGATGTGAAGTAAGCTGCTTTTCTTATGTGCTAGTAAACTGAATATCTTCAGGTTTTGGACACAAAATAAGACGTCACCTTGGGATTAAGGAAATTGTGATGGCATTTGTCACTATTTTCATAGACCACACAATTAATCAGTTAATGTCACATTCATCAATAATGAAAGCAATATAGTAATAGTAAACCCTACTTGAAATTAAAACCTGTAGAACAAATAATGATTAAGATGAGTCTTTAATTTTCAATAAATTACATTTGTTATTTTGTTATGTATAGAGTTGGTTTAAAATAACCCTGAAGAAATCTGATTGGATATCTTTCTTTTATCTTTATTTTCTGGGGTTTTTTAGGTACAAAACTTAAAAAAACACATGCACTGCTTGAACCTCATCAGGACACCTTTATATCTCAGATGAAGCAGAGTAAGGCTGAAGAAACTGGTCTATACAGCACAAACATCCATTAAAACCCTTTTCTGTAGTATGAGTCATACAAGTGTGTCCTTACCTGAACTATCTCCAGCATCTCTGCCCGGCTGATGTACCCATTCCCGTCCAGGTCGTACATGCTGAAGGCCCAGCGCAGCTTCTGCTCTAACCCGCCACGAGACGTTACGCTCAGGGCGATGATGAACTCCCTGAAGTCGATGGTGGCGTCGCCGTTGGTGTCAAACGTGCGGAAGACATGCTCAGCAAACTTAGAGGCGTCTCCGTAGGGGAAGAAGTTGGCATAGATCTTCTTGAACTCCTCCACAGTCAGGTGGCCGGTGGGACAGTCCTTGAGGAAGCCGCGATACCACTCCTGCAGCTCGTGGTCGGTGAACTCTGTGTTTTCTCTCAGGTCGTTCAGGACCTCGGGCCGCAGCTTGCTGTTCTGTTTCCCCATGACACGGCACTCTCGGGCGGGCAGGTGGCTGGGCTGGTTTTCACTTCTCCGCTCTCACTGTTGTGTCGTTTGCTGCTCGGCTTTCTCTGCTCCTGCGGGAGACCGACAACCCTCATTAATATCCTTGTATGAATACCATAAATGATTCATTGGTTCAATAATTCCTCTCAGCTTGCAGCAGTGTTTTATCATAAAACATGTGCTGAAGATGCTCCTCAGACAACCGAGCTGAGGGATACATTTGGACTGTTCAGAGTACGTACACAAGAGAAAAATAGAGATTACAACTCAGATGTCATGAGGGCACAAATGTGTTTATGTCTGTGTGTGGTGGTAGTGGTAGCCTGGTCTCCGTGGATACAGTATGAATCCTCTGGCATGGTGATAATTTATCGACCCTTCACTGCATGGTGGAAGGACAAGTGTCCTGGGGCATTGTAATTTTCAATAAAGCCACTTTCTAAAAGGTCAGGCTGATACTGACTGTTGTTACTGAGAAGGGCAGACATTCACCTCAGCTATAATCCCCACCTTTACGCCAAAATGAATATTCTAATTGATTTTGAGCAGGGGAAGTTTTGCACTCTGATTGAAGAGAAACACAAGCGAAGTTTAAAAAATACCAATGCAAACAAAGACACTGAAACATTTGACCACCTGGGCCTATTCACCTTCGGCTTCTGTGGTTTGTCTAAATTCTGTTTCCATGGTTATATTCTGCCAAATAAAATCTGTTTATTCATGTATGCAGGGGTATTCATGATTGGGGATATGAGGGTGCATCAAAACAACACATCCAGAATAAAAACCATAACAGCATAATAGGTATTAGATGATGCAACCCACTGATGAAGCAGAGGCGGACATGGGTGTGTTAGTCAGCACAAAGGTTGTGACATTTTACAGTTTGCATACTGATTTTTTCACGTTAACAGGGATTGTTTCTGTTTCATATATTTTGTCAGTGAGGGAAAAGTGGTATAAAGACACACATTTACGGGCAATATTGGGACAAATGAACACATATGGTGTGCGCCACTGTACGAATGAAAGACAGAAGAAACAGAAAGAAAGAAAGAAAGAAAGAAAGAAAGAAAGAAAGAAAGATCAACGTGGTCAGAATGTACAAAGAAAAAAACACATGATGGCTGAGATAATCTTTTACAACATGTATCTGGTAAAGTGTGTGTGGGAGGGACAGAAAGAGAGATGTGCGGGGGCCTGGAGGAAGAAAGAATGGGAAAAAGTATGACACATAGAAAGAAAAACTATTTCCAGCCATACTATGTGAGCCGCTTTGCTAATACCTGCAGTTCAATTGCATAATAATCCCTCTGAATAACACCTCCACTGCTCTGAGTTACCTATAATGAATTTATCTGAGAGAGAGAGAGGGAGAGATGTATTATCCCCATGTTCTCTCTCTTTCAATTATTGAAATCCCATCGCTCCTGTGTTATTGGCACCGGGATGATTCTATCTGCCGTAGAACAAATGAGAGCAGCGTGAATTTGGATGAGGTCTTTTCTACACACGGACGCCTTCATTTCTCATAATTGTCACATGGTGTGTAATTTCCTGCAGTTTTATGAATCAAAGTCACTGAGTAACATGAGAGGCAGGCAGGTTTGAGAAACAGCCAGTGACACAAACTCTTAATGATGTCACTCAGGCTTATGGGTGGAAAATGAATCAGTGAAACCAGACGCACAACACATCAATACAGCTTATTTCTTACCCTGGTTTTATTATCTGTGCACATACAACAATCAGCAGTTCAACAAAGGGCACACTGCTAAAAAAAAAACTCCAATCATTCCCTTTCACAAATGAAGATACAATTGTTTTCAACCAGTATGGTGTTTGAAAATTACAATGCAATAATATTTATTTGCTGTAGTATTTGATTCCAGATTGTTTGTTGTTTCATTTGTTACCACCACTGAGGCTGAGCCTTAACCCAAACCGCTGCAGTGGTCCTGCTCAGTGGCCAGATCAGACTGTAGTTGTACTGGGCAGCTTCCTGGTGTAAATGTGTAACTGTGCAAATGTGATCAGGGCGTTCCTGCAAAAGAGAGGTGTCCTCTCAGTGAACCTTCCCAGAATAAAAAACAAAACAAACATACTTTGAGCTGTTTGTGGTGCTAAATGAAAAGTCATTAGGATTCATCTTCTAGGCACAATGAATGTCAAAAAAAATGTCATGGCAATCCATCAAATAATTATGATGTTTTAGTCTGAACCAAAGTGATGGACTGAGCAACATCAGACCAACATTACCAATCTGGAGCAGCTACAATGACTAAAAATACTCTGATGGAAATGATATTGATTTAAAACAGGGGAATTGCCTCCCATGCTTTTTAGAATAACAACACAGTGACACATTATCATATCGGATTTTTTCTTTGGTACTTAACTTTGTAGCAAGCTTGTGAACGTCATGGTGCAGCGGTGGAACACTAGAATAAGTGATGCTCACTTTGAGAATATCACTGTCTGCTGTGCTGACTATGTTTTAACAGGGCTGTGGTATAAATCACACATTGCCCTGCAGGCCTGACAGTACTCCTTCCTCTCTAACATACAACAGGATGAGGAAGCGGCAGCACCTCCTCAGCTCTGGGTCACATGGACTTTTCCAGGACAGCTCAGTGTGCAGGCTGAGCCGGAGCAGACATAAATATGGGCGTTGCTATTTATTCCCCTCCAACACACAAAGCCACATGAAGCCCAGAAGATTCCAGGCTGGAAGACTGAAAAGTGCTGCTGTGATGTTTCAAGAAGCTCTGAGGCTAAATTAAGAGTTTACTTCCAAAGAATTATAATTTAGGGAGAAAAACATGAAAACAGTGTGTACTCTGGTAAAACAACACGAACGCACTTATCAAAGATTGTGGGTTGCAAAACAGCTTTACAGATTCCACTGGCCTCTGAATTATGTTCTTTAAAGCCTAAAATGAAACTAGAATCCCACAGATAAAGTAGGGGTTGTAATTAAGGCATATTCCGTATTATTTTAGTTACTGCACAGACTGTTGCTAGTCTCAATACACTGGGCAATTATTATACCATCTGAGCTTCTAAAATGTGAGTGATTTCTCTAAGTATGCACACAGGCCTGCAATTGAGACGTCACAGGATGTTTTATACGTTTTCACAGCTGGGAACTGAGCTATTCTGGTGTCATTTCTTAAAGTTCCTACTTGGTGCAGTGGAAAATGTTTTCAAATGTGGTCAGAAATAACTAGAAATTGCTCTGACATCTACGTGACCTCGTTGGCAGAGAGCTCTCACCGCTTTGACTGCTGGAGTCGCAGGGTAAGTTTGTAAGCTGTACACAGTCTGCGAGCGTTGTTTGATACACAACAGCACCTCCGAGATTGCCATTCCACGTTCAGTGTTTGCAATTCCCCCCGATTACACAGCAACAGTCTCTCTCCTTGTCCCCAACCCCCATAGCCATCCCTGTTTTGTATGGTCCACTTTTTCCAGTGGGTTCCCTGCCTAATGAGACTGTTTCACACAGTTGCTCCAGAGCAGCAAGTATCCCCCTTTCCCCGAGGCTACAGTGGGGGCTCCTGTAAACCTCAGCCCAGTTTCACTGCTGCTGGCCTTCTTAGGCCCACCTCATTTCCTGGGTAATGGCTTGTCACAACAAAGAAAGCCTCCATTCTTCTTCCAGATGCTCATTACTTCTTGTGTAGCGAAGAAGACGAGGAGTCAGAAAAAGGAGAGATGAAGGGTGTGGATAAAGATACGGTAGTGCATCCATAAAGCACGACGCACACACACAACTGATGTAGCTCATTATGCTTCTGATCAGTGAGTGTAGGAAACAAACTAAGTGCAACAACTGCTGTTAAAGTCGGTCCTAATGTAAAAAAATAAATAATAAACTAAAATGGTAGTCAATGGAAAGAATTACCTGGCAAGTATTTTGATAATTAATGTATCATGTATGTCATTTTATTAGGAAAAAAAAAACCCAGTTTTAGCTTCTAAATTGTGAATATGCACTGGTTTTTTTCAGCTTCTATGGTTTTTAAATTTCATATCCTGGTTTTGGACAGTCAGTCAGACAAAATGTGTGTGTTTTGCAGTATTTTCTGACATTTTATGAACTCAACTCAACAACTAAAGACGACCCTAAAACAAAGTGTTTTGCCCCAAACTAGAGCTGATATTGGACAGAGCATTTCCCATCCAAATATTTTTCATGCCGTCTGTACCGTTGCCTCTTCTGTTTGATGAATGTAAATCAAACAAACTGATGCGGTTCGGTGCACAGAAAGAAAGCAGACTTCTCATTTTTGTGGTGCGTGTAGCCCGCTGTGCAGTGGATGAGCAGGAGGAGCACTGCGTCCTGAAGTGCTGTGAACCACTGGTAACTCAGGCCGCATCAGGTGGGTGAGGAGTTGGTCCAGTGTAAGAGGAGGGAAAAACACAAAATGAGCTCTCCAGATATTCTCGCTTTCAACGCTGCTTTGTGGCAGTCTCTCTGAACTAGTGTCAGAGAAAATCATGCAGTGGATCAGGATGAAGTCCCCTGACACACCAGTAGTCAAGGCAACAGGATAGTACTGCTAAGGCTTATGAGAGGGAGGCGGTGTAACTATCAATCTGGGGCACACACACGGCAGGAGATATATCGAGACTCAAGAGAAACAAGGTTTTTTTTCTGCGTGCAGTTTGATCTAATACAGCAATTTTCTTATTCTGTTTAGGGTCATCCACAAGCATTCACACTCATTGGCTTGATATTGTCCAGTTTACAAACTATTGTAATGTAACTGTCCTGTGAGCAAAAGTTCACAAATGCAAAAATCATGACGTTTATTTTTATTTTAGCAAGTGAGTCTGTGAGAACGTTTTTGAACTGGTGAGTTGGCTCATTTCATTTTGGAGCGGATACATACTCTTCATATGTTGGCTTTGGTCATGTTATTAAAACGTGTGAGATAAAATAAAAACACTTACACAAGAGTGTGGAAATAGTAGTTGAAATTAAGGGCTGGCAAGCATTATGATGGCACAAAGTTTTAAAGGAAGGGTAGTCAAAGGGGAGGTAAAGGAGCTTGACACACCTTTAGCCGTAGGTCTTTATACATCAATACTGAGTCTTCACACCAGATATTTTTCTTATGGCTACGGAATAACTCCAATACTATAATTTATCAACTTTGAAATAAAAAAAAAAAACATTGTTAGTTAGTTGGTTAAAGTTTATTTATTCAGGAAATTTCATTGAGATCTGTAGAAACAGTTAAGTAGTTAAACAGTCAAAGTGGATGCACACTGTTTCTTTTAATGTGAAGATGAAACCATATTGTTAATATTATTATTAGTATTATTTCCTGGGTGTTTTATTTTGAATGTTATTCTACGGCTTTGATTATCATTGCCTATGTGTTTAGCATGGATGAACTATAAAACTTTCATTTTGTCATACAACCTTCTGTTTCCTTGATTATATTAATAATATTCTAAATAATAGGTTTTACACATTTGTTCAAACAGTGGAGGACAGAGTATTGCTCTGAGCTGTTGCTGTTGTGCAAACACTTGCCATATTGTGATATAACGTTACAGGCAAATGTCCTTCTATTTTGTCACATTGCCCAGCCCTAATTTGTCTTCAACTAAAAATACATATGTGAATATTAATTTAATTTATTCAGGACTTATTTACAGTATGTTTCAAGCTAGGTTACTTGTAAAATTTGCATTGCCAACGGCCACTTTAAAACAGTTTTCCCTTATTCTAAGCAGTGGTTTCCAACCTGAGGGTTGGGACCCCACTAAAGATCAAAAAAGCTGCCATGCAGGGGTCATGAGGCCTTCTTGATTTTAAGGCTTTTGAGAAAACTAAGTGCAAATTTACACAATAGGCTTATATATCAGCATCTGGTTCACTTTTGTGAAGAACAGTAAGTGTAAATTGTTAAGTAAATGAATTAACAGAACAACGGCCAAGCATCAGCGACAAGAAAACACTGCATTTGTCAGAAAATAAGCATATTAAGTTTGTATGATTGTTAAAAGGTATTAAAAAAAAAATCCATAATACAGAGCGGGAATTGTATAAAAAGATCAGGGGAAAAAATCTGCTCAAAATCCATTCAAATCACTTGTTTTATGCAAGCGTATATAAGTTAATTGTACATAATATAAATTTAAAAAATCCATACAAGATGTCACTCCAGACAGTTCACTCAGTGACAGTAAAGGTTGGGAGACACTGTCTGGTATGGGTGTAACCCTCCTCACACCCTCCTCACACCCTCCTCTGCCTTGGGGAAATTGCCACAGCAGCCCGGGGCAAAACTACCCACTGGAGCAGACTCCTTGGACAGAGCAGCTCCAACCACCAACCCCCTTTTATTTTAGTTTTTTTTATTTCATAAAGTGATGGAAAACTTACCTGTTTTAGGAGTAACGGTTGAGACTCTCTTCCGGTTGAAAAAGAAAAACAGAAAAAAGAAAAAGAAAAAGAATAAGAAAAAGAAAAGAAAAGAAAAAGAAAAAGAATAAGAAAAGAAAAAGAAAAAGAAAAAGAAAAAGAAAAGTCCACTTAGGGTTAAGCCCACTTTATGACGTCACCAACAGCCTAACTTACCGTTAACTTACAGTTTAACGTCTATCAAAAAAAAATAAAATAAAAGACAACAACACGAGAATAATTAAAGGCGAGCGGGTGAGTGTTACGACCCTTCGCACACAAGAAGATACGTTAAGTTTGTAAACCCGAGTAGCTTAAATGTATGTTTTTTGTTTTTAAAAGCCAGCTCCTCCAGCCTCCGGTTCCAGGGGCAGCGGCTTTATCACACAGTGGAAGATGTGGCACAGAGCTCGGTTTTCATCCGACTTGCCCAAGTTACTTACTAAAGGGTTTTCTCTTCTCTTCGTAGGCACCTTAAACGTGTTTCGTCCAGGCTGCTGGAGAAGTTAGGACACTTTGTAGCGATAAGTAATACCCGTAAATGTAGCTGTTATTTAATAGGCATTTTATCCTGATTTTTTTTTTTTACTTCGAGTTTATGAGTAGTGCTTCAAACCCCCCCCACACACGCGGAATGGACCCGTCCACACTCGCTGCTTCCATCGTAGAAACAGTCGCAGCAGCGTCCTGTGGAAAAATGATCACTGGAGACTATTATTAGCACAATATCTAAAATAAACGCTTCACGTTTTAGGGGAAAATCTTGATACTAAGAGAAGCACTCAGCTGCACCAAACACACACATTCTCATGCAGAAGTCCATTAAAAAGCAGTTATTCCATAATAAATTGTAGATACAGTATACTGTAGGCAATAATTTTATTTGCATACTTATATTAAGATGTAGCCACCCCCCAAGAGAAATATACATAAAGTGTTCTTGTTGGAGTAGCACAAGTGTTAACATCACACCTCCTTGGTGGACAGTCTTTTTAATTACAGCCCACCAACACCAGCCTCATTCTACGCACTGCATAAATAAGAAACTAATTTATTTAATCCATGTCAAGTTCCTCTAATGCTGTGTGTGTGCAGGCTGCACTAGAAAGCAGTGGTATTACATGATTAAGTTATAACCTAATTTCATCTTTTCCCAGCATGACTTCTCCCCTCAGCCTCTCTGAAGATGTGCAGTCGTCTATCAGTGCCTATGACAGTAACCTCTCTCTTGTGCAGTCTAAAGTGACACTGCAGAGGCAGAGCGGTGTGTATGTCAGCATTTCAGTGAGTGGATAAATAATTAACTGTGTGTATGCCTGTGTGTGTGTGTGTGTGTGTCTTCCTGAAGCCCGACACCTGTTTCTATAAGCACATGGAGTGTTTATCTCTACCTAAGAGTGAGTACAATGCAGACCAGGGGGGGTTTAAGGCAGTGATAAAGTAGTCTGAGGTTGCTTTTGTTGCCATTGCCAATTTGCAACTTAATACTGTCACAGGCCTCTGGTTGCTGGAGTAAGGCAGGTGAAAAACATTGTTGTGACTCACTTTAATACATTTCTGAGTGGCAATAAAAACCATGGAAAAATAAAACATAGCTTATCTTGTAGGTATTCTTATAAAATAAAATCATAGATCTGTATTTTTGTTGTTATTACAGTATCACAAGAAAAAGATCTTGACCATATTAAATAGAAACAAGAGAACATTTGTTTTGAGAATGGAAACATTTGTTTGACAAAAAAAAAATAAAAAAAAAACAACTCAAGGTCAATGCACTTAATAGCATTTTCTTGGGGTTTTCTCAAGACTGTGAGATGCTGTTGAAACCTTGATGATCTAAATGTTGATGGCTAACCACTGTCACATAAACTGGGATGATGTAGAAATAAAAATCTCCATCGCAAAAAATTTTTTCATATGTACTAATAAAGATTTTGAGATGTTGCTGTAAACTAATACATTTATCTTTTTGTCAAAATTAACTTTCAATTTCAAACTTTTTTTTCTGCCAACAGAGGCACTGTCACACAGTCTTTTTCCTTAATTAAAAGATCATCAAGAAAGTGCAATAATAATATATAGTGGGTCAATTAAATTAAACTACATGTATGTTACATTAAATACAAAATTCACTTTAAGTTACATTTTACATCTTGTACATCTGCAGTTTAAGCATCAAGTTGATTCTCTAATCCAGGACAGAAATATAAATTAAGTTAGCAAGGATTCAATTTATTCAATTTTTTTCATTTCACTTTTGACTTCTACTCCACTACATTTCAGAGGGAGATATTGTACCTTCTACTACATTTATCTGACAGCTATAGTTACTTAGTTACTTCACAAATAAGATTTTCTAAGCTTTATTGATACAAAACAAACAAAGAGCTTATAAAAAGTAAAATAAATTACTCAACAGTATATACAAGTACTATAATTAGTCAAAGTACAGAAACATTTACAATCATTTACATCATTTTTAAGCAAACATTTCATGGTTCCAGCTTCTCAAATGACGATCACAGGGGGCATTGTTCTGCATTAAGTATATTCACCTTTATTATTTAAGTATGTTTAAAGTAAGTTTTCTTCATTATACATTTTCCATGCAGGGCATTTTACATGTAACAGAGTATTTTTACTGTGTGGAATTAATACTTTTACCTAATTAAGGGATCTGAACTGGTGCTTTGACCACTGTTGTAGTGGAGAGGGGCACTTTCTGAGATGCTCTGCAGAAACATAACGATCCACTAGAGGCCGCTGACAGCCCTCCACTCTGTAGTGTTTCTGGTTGGTTATTAAGTGAAAGGTCGGTCTAAAAGCTTGAACTCGGCTGATGGGTGGGCTCTATGGGATCAGACTGCTCAGGGGTGTTTAGAGGCACAGTCCCCTTCTAGCCAATTACTAAAGAGTATCCTGTATTTGGATGTAGTGGTACCATGTTGTGTCTGTCCTCCTCACTGCTTGTTTCATTAGTCACAAAAAACACAAATTGTTCTTTTATCCATACATAAACATATGTTTGCAACCACATAAACTTATTACTCGTCTCATACTGTAGCTGACATTTTACTAGTTAAAGAAAACCACAAAGAAGACCATCAATCCATTGATTTTGTGTCAATATCTTCAAAAAAAATACACCTCTGCTTTTATTTATTATTATTATCAACTTGTGAAACTTCTGAAAAAACATTTAAGTTATTTATAGGTGCATTAATAGGTTTTTCTGCAGTGTTTCTGCAAGAAAACTACAATAATTTCATACTGTTCTGATCTGTTCTGTATGATTAGATTCACTTGTTCCAATCTATACATGTTGCGAAATAATTATTTCATCATAAAAACTTACTGACCCTCTATGCTTCCTCCATGGGACACATGTACATTTAATCTTCTGCATGATTAGTGACAAGCAGTCACTGCAGCTGTAAAAGCAGCACACACTCCTCAAATATTGATCTGTCTGTCTTTACATTACACAGAGTGAGGGGCAATAGTCCCCTCTATAGTCCTCTGTCAATATTTAGAGAACACACTGAAATCAAGGTTTTACTTGATTGACGTACAATAACATGCCTTTTTAAATGAATTTTCAGTGTGTGGCATTGTGCATTTTCATGTGCCATGTGTTTAGTTAAATTCACTTTATTTGTTTAGGACGCTTCCCCAGTATCCATATCACTCTCTGCAGAGTCCAGAGTACGTAAAACCAAAACAACATAAGACACAAACAATAAACCATTTCTGAACATATCAGTACACACAGTCACAATCTTGCACAGTCATGTTAAGTCACGTGTTATGTTTTCAACACTATCACCCAGTTTATTCACCTGTAGATGTGTTTAGTTGATTCCAGTTGGCACCACAATGGTAGAGAGAGAGTTCTATAAAATATATTATTTAAACATATTTGTATTCTTAATCAAGTAACTTACATATTTTGATGTTATTACCATAAAAAATAATACCATAAAATTACTGAAAAATGTCCTCTAACACAAGTACCACTGATTTTGTCAGTTTATTTTATTTTATTTAGACTTTATTTCCCATTAACGTTGTGGCTTCCTGTTGCAAATCAAGTGTTTTCTGAACTGAATAACAGTTTTAGATCAAAACAAGGACCTGGAATAAACCCATGTTTGTCACCAATGTGAATGGACCAACAAAAGGTATTGACTTGACTTCACAGTTTGACTTTAACATGACCCCGATACTCCTCTGCTTTTAGATAGCTGGTATTTTGATAGGCTATATATTATATGTTGGCTGTGACGTCCATTCCACTTAGCAATTATTCAAGCTGATATTATTCATATTTTTATATTAACAATTTATCAAATAAAACCCAAATAAAAATCATCACCCAACTCTCTTTAATATCACTCTCACCACTTTCATCAACCTTGTTTCCAGCAGCACCAGGCCGTTATTTTCAGTCAAAAAGCTCTGATAAAACCATTGTACACTAACTGTCTTGCACCAAACAACAGACAAAGTATAATAATGGAACATTTCACAGCTAAAGAGATATTTCTCTGTTAATGAAGAACCAAAACAAAGCTGAGAGAACAGCAATGTTTCCCGCCCGCCCAAGTTTAGTAACCGCTGTTCAAGTATTTGGCAACCCATTGTAGTATTTTTTATTAAACTTTTTGTATCCATCCGAGAGAACGACGGATCAAACTTTGCTTTGATGTGATTTCTGATTATTGTGCATCATTTTGTATAAAAGTGATTCTCTGCTTTCAAATTTTGACCATGTCAACTCTGCAGAGTAGCAATTTTTCCTTTTTGTGATCCAGCAGATTTCCCACAGATTCAGTCCGTTCTGTGCATTGTATACATTTCAAATGGAAACTAATAGCTATCAGTGATTGTGGTAATAATCTTGTTTGTTTATGATGATTACAACAACATCTCAAAAGCATTGATTTTAAACTGCAGGTTGTTTGGACATGTTCCAATCGAAAGGACATGATAAGGCTGCAGACACTAGGATCACATGCTGAAATACTGATATGCTACATGTGCTGTAAAACCTGCAGCTTGCCTATCATATTTGCACTACTTCACTTTTTATTGTGCTCTGCTGATAGTGGTGATGTTGAGTAGACTTTCCTAGAAGTTTCTAGATGTAGACTGTAAATTAATTACTTGAATACATTGATACTGTAATGAGATATATTGTGTGTGTGTGTGTGTGTGTGTGTGTGTGTGTGTGTGTGTGTGTGTGTGTGTGTGAACATGTGTTAGTAAAGCTCCAGGTAGTTAATACACTACAAGAGTTGAATTATTATTATTATTATTATTACATTTAATAAAATGCTTACTGGCCCTTAAATCCATGTTAACTCATATTACTGATTTTGTTTATTACAGTATATGTGGCTTTGAGTTGAAAATATGACACTTGCTGAAACATTTTAATGTTGATGTTAATAACACAATTAAATAAAATTGTGATAACCTTTTATGTGAAACATGTAAATGATTTGTGCTAATGTTTCTAATTCATGTTTGTCCAAAAGTGAAGTATCGATAGACCGGAGTCCTCTGGTCAGCCT